TATCGTTAAGTGAAGAACTTTGACCTTGATTATCTCTGTCAATTTGAATTTGTGTCGTGTGGTTTTCGATCAGGGGTAATCCACCAATACCTTGGTGTTTTGTCGCTGAGTGTTGAGTGTGAAAGTTTTGAGATCTTGAAGTTACAGAAATTATAGTGCAGTCGTCTAAATTCTCTTGAATAGTTGAGCTGGGGTTAACCCGATTGGCCTCATTGCACACATTATTCTGATTGATTTGTATCGTGTGGTTTTCGATCAAGGGTAATCCACCAATACCTTGGTGTTTTGTCGCTGAGTGATGAGTGTGATTGGCCTCATTGCACACATTATTCTGATTGATTTGGCAATTAATCTCTTTTGGGTTATGCAGTAATTGCAAACTATTATCATTACATTCTCCAGACAAAGGACTATTATTTTGCTGATTAGCTTCATTGGGCCCATTGTTCTGGTTGACTTTATTAAGAGACTCAATTATGTTGGTATTAATACAAAAGTTATGTAATAAAGGGTCGTTAGGTTCCTCCAAACGTGGTTTTTCCCGATTATTCTCACTACACCCAGTGGTCTGAATAGATTTATGACAAATTTCCTTTGAATTGACAATAACACACGAATCGCTCGATATATCATCGTTGCAGGGGATTTGCAAACAATCGAGTTTTGGTTGCAGTGTCGCAATAGCATGCCTTATGGCTTCCAAATCAGCAAGACTCAAGCGAGCTAAGTTAAGCTTTTGTAGTTCACTAATAGTTTTGTTTGAGATGTTAATTGTATTCGTCGCGGAATCAGGATCATTACTCTCCAATCTTTGGTCGGGGCCTATTGGCAAGGTAGATTTATTCTCGGAGAAAACTTTCGCCTCTAGTAATGCAAGACGTGACTTCAAATTCAAATTTTCTTTAGTTAATTTACATAAGTCCTGTTTACTTTTGTGAATAATTTCGATCTGTTCTGAAAATTTAGCTGTAATAGCTACAACCTTCGATTCAATTTTTTCTATAAACAAAGTGAACTGTTCCTCTATAGTAGCCGAGTTACTATCCACTTGTATACGACGTGGGGTGGAGCAATCATTAACTTGTGCAGAAGGCATACTGTTATTGTTCTGCAACATCACGTTTTAAAACGATTGCTCAATGAAATCTTGCAGCTCATCAAGTGTTGAGTAATCGCAGGATATTTGGGATATTGGGAGTGACACATTTTTAGTATTGACTTTACCATGGTCACTGGGTATTTTATGCTCATTTTGTCCATCATACAACGATTTGTTTTTATCTGACGTGTTCTCAGAGGCAGTATTTGAAGTAACTGACTCTGGGCCCGTATAATACGCCGGCCGGCTTTCCTTATTCGTACAAATATTAATAAAAAGTTCATTTAAACAGTCACCTGTTTTCCCTTGGAATGATAGAAAACCTCTCTCGTAATTCCAGCTGAGGATCAAATCAGAATTGGAGCTTGTAAATCGCCTATATTTGCCTCCGGGTGACGACCATATGCCTGTCTGAGCAATGGCACATTTGGTGAATATTTTCAACATTTCAAGGCTGTCCGTCCATCTAATACGCTTTCTATCAAAGACGAAGCATTCATTGTCTTTATAGCGAAAAATTTCACCAAGATCCCATTCATTTAAGTTGTTTTTAAGGAAACCAACAGAGCTTGTTTGAACACAACCGGCCGCCATTCTCATACAGGGGTTGAGCAACTCAATCCGATGTCGTTCAGGCAAGCGATTGTAGCAAGTTTCGAATGTAAACTTACCAGTCTCCTTGACTCATGCCTTTCCCGTTCTAGTTCTGCGTTTGCTTTAGTAATATCTTGTTTTAACTATAATTCAAAACATAAACAATTTCAGATTATTGTCCACTAAAAACCTGGACGACAAGAAAACACCAAATATCCAGACAGAAATGAAAACACTGAAGTTCGCATTATATACTCCACGATTCTTATTACATACTCGATCCGTTATCCCTCGTTCTTGATTCAGTTGTTCAGAAAGGTCGTCAACTTCTCGTACTAAAAAGAAACATATTTGTTAAATAGCCTGTTGAACAATTTATTCAGTCCATAAAATAAATAGATACCGATACAATTTAGACAATCACTTCAGTAAAAACTCCATCCTACTTTTTACCGCAAGTCAAGTCATACCACCTCCTTTAGCGAACAATATCTTTTTTATGCCACAACAAGTAGGTTTCATCAAACATTATCAAGCAACAACTTGTGGTCAACAGTTATCATGAGAAAATGTTTGACATTGAATAGGATATGAAGTCAAACCAGACCAATAACACTACACTATTATTACATTCACTATCCTATCTAAGATTGCCTACTGTTACTGCATGGTGGGAATGGATCAGCATGAATAATCAAGCACTATATCGTTTATATCACCAGCACAGGCGTTCCTGCACAAACCAATGGTATACCTCCTCCATCCTCAATAGCAACTAGTCATCCGTCAGAGACGGAAAATTATGGAAAAACTATAAGCTAATTAGCAAACTCATCATTAGGTAACCTCGACGATCTTGTTGCCTTGGATGCGGATGCCACCAACACTGAGTAATATTGAGACGAGCTAGGCATGCAATACAATAAGGTGATGGACAATAAGGCTATAATTATATATTCATCTCTTACTATATAATCATATAACAATTCATCTCTTACTATAATCATATATTCAACTCTTACTATAATCATATATTCAACTCTTACTATAATCATATATTCATCTCTTACTATAATCATATATTCATCTCTTACTATATAATCATATATTCATCTCTTACTATATAATCATATAACAATTCATCTCTTACTATAATCATATATTCATCTCTTACTATAATCATATATTCATCTCTTACTATATAATCATATAACAATTCATCTCTTACTATAATCATATATTCAACTCTTACTATAATCATATATTCAACTCTTACTATAATCATATAACAATTCATCTCTTACTATAATCATATATTCAACTCTTACTATAATCATATAACAATTCATCTCTTACTATAATCATATATTCAACTCTTACTATAATCATATA